TGGCCCCCGCTGGACACAGATAAGACCACACGGTTCTCCAGCTGTTTGCCCGTCATCTCCACAGGGCTCCAGGCATCCTCATCCTGCCCTGTGCCCAGCTGGTAGTTGGTGCCCATGCCCCAGGCGAAAACACGACCTGCAAGAGAAAGAAATGGGTATAGCTGTCTCCAGGATCCCCAGCCCACTTTTCTGTGGCAGGAGAAACCTGGGAGATGGGTGTGGACTGTGGCCTTGGCCAACAGCAGCTTGGCAAGGCCCCAGACTCTCGGAGTTCAGGGAAGTTGGGAGAACCCAAGGAGATGATGGATGAAAAAGAACGCTGTAAACCAGAGACCACAGTCCCTACACATTGCCAAAGGCTGCTCCTAGGTGTGGCATTCAAGACCCCAACCCCACCCTCTGTTCCCAGGATCAGCCACCTTTGAGACTGCCCTGATGTTCCTCTGCCTGGAATGGCATTCTTTGCTTTTCACAAAGAATGGAACCTTCAAGGTACAGTGCAAGCCCCACTTCCTCAGGAAGTCTTCCCAGATATCTCAGGTCCAGCACCTCTGCCAGCTCCAGGCTTCTACAGGACCTCCATGGCTGTCCCTCTCATCTACTCAGGCTTTGGTGGTCACTTGTTCACACCCTCCTCCGCCATACTTGCTACAACTCTGACTACTAAGTCTTTTTTTTCCCTGATTTAGATTCTAAGTACAAGTGCCTGGGAAGCGGGCACATACAAGGTGATATATGAAGAGGTTACCCTGATGGAGAGAGCAGCCTGGGTTAGGAGTCTGGAGACTTGGGTTCCAGTCCCATTGCCTCCTTAGGCCTCAGTGATATCTCACTCTTTGCTATTTCTCTCCTCTGCATAATAAGTCACCTTTACTAAAATAATTTGTGTACTCATTTCATATTCATCAACACCAGAGCTTCTGAGAAGCAGGAACAGAGTGCATCACAAACATTGCTGTCTGCACCTCGGCTCCACCTGAGAGTGGACATCACAGCCTACTGGGGAACTGGGTAAGAACCATGACCCACAGGACCCAACTAGACAGAGTGTAGGCAGCCCCACTCACCATCCTTGGTCACAGCATACCCCACAGAGGCCCCACAAGCCACTGAGGAGACAGCAGGCAGCCTGGAGATGAGGGTGGGTATGCTCTTCTCCTCAGCACCCTCCCCAAGGCCCAGCCGCCCATACTCAGCCCGGCCCAGGCTGTATGCTTTTCCTGTGGGAGGAGGGAGAGAGATGAGCAATAGCAGAGGGCGTGCTACAGGCAAAATGGGTGGCAGGCTAGGTGAGTGCCCCTGTCCATGGGAGTGTGTCACTGCTCCCAGGGCGATCAGAAGGAGATCTGCAGTGTCTCTTCCCAGTTTTGGAGGAGACCTAGGAGAATCTCTACATAGGCCCCCATTGAACTCACACTTGGAAGAGCACCAGGACTCTAGGAGGATGAGAGTGACTCTCATGGACCCACGTGTGGCACAACCCATGGAACAGACCCAGGCTCCAAGGACCACGGTCTCAGGAATCTGGCTAGGTCTAGGCCAGGGTACACTCCGCACCCAAACTAGGGAAGGAAGTAAAGGACCTACCTTCTGAATCCATGCAGACTGTATGGTGCTGGCCACCAGAGAAGCCCACCCAGGACTTGGTGGAATTCTTAAAGGATGTTAGGTTCTGGGGTATGAAGCAAGATTCTGTGCCCGGAGTTCCTGGGGGAAAGGCCAGAGCCATCAGGGGTGAAGGTGTTCTGAAAGCTGCCCTTCTCAATCCCCTCCCACAGTGAGGCCACCTCCCATCAGGATATGGACATTTTCACTTTACAGATGACAAAACTGTGATTTTGAGGGGTTAGACAACCCCGCAAAGGATGCACAATGAATGAGTGGTAGAGCCAGGACAGGAACGCAGGCCACTGGATCACGCCTGAAGCTGGGCTCAGGGCTCACCAAGCTGATGGTAGTTGGAGAGGCCAAAGCCGTACACGTGGCCCTCGTGGGAGATGGCAAAGGTGAAATAGGCACCACAAAAGGCATCCTGGAATCTCACGTGGCCCCGGCTTCCCCTGGATTTCAGCATCACACACTTGGGGACCAGGAGTCGTTCTGCAGGCAGAGGAAAAGGCACAGTCAGTGACAGGCAGACACACACGGCTTCCCTCTGCCCCAAGTTTAATTCTCCTCCATTATAAAAGCCCTTGACAGGCTAAGTAGGGACTCTCATCCCTATTTTATAGAAAAAGAAACTGAGATCAAGAGAATGCAAGTGCCTTGCTCAGATTCCCACAGTTATTAGAGGTATCATTTACATGGAACTTACCATCTGCCTGATATTCTTCTCATTAACTCATTTAACTTCAGAGCAACCTAATGAAGTAGGTTTATAGGTAGGTAGACTTAATGATGAAGAAAGTATGTTCAGAGTCCCATAGACAGTAGGTGGCAAAACTACCACAGCAGTCTGTCTCCAAAGTCTTAACCAATACCACAAGTCCATCTGATGCAAGCCTGACCATAGCAAATCCTTCCCGCCTTTGGCCTTCACTGTGGGGGTGGCCTGCCAATTTGCCCTGCTGGAGGTACCAAGGCCACTTACCAAGACCTTGCCGGCCACCACGGTTGGCAAATAACTCAGGCACACGGCCTAGCTGGCCCTGTTCCCCGCAGCCCAAGGTGTAGAGGTCACCACCAGCTGTCAGCATCACCAAGTGGTCGTTTCCTGAGGATGAAAAGGTAAGGGATGCAGGCCACATCTGTAAGGCCCAAGGCTGGGCCAGCCCCAGAACAAGGTCCTCCAAGTCCTGCCCCGAGCAAGTACCCCCAGACCCACCTGAGGCCACCTTTACCACAGGCACGTCCAGCTGCACCTGCACTGGCACCATGCTCTTCTTCATGGGCTCCAACAGCCCAATCACACCGTTATTGTCCTAGAAGGGAGGGACAGGGCACTTATCAGCCAGTCCTGCCTGCGCCATACCAGTGAAATCCAGAAGGGCAGTGGCACCAGATGGGGATGGAGAGGTGGGCAGGAGCCGGGCCACATACTCAAATACTTATGAATGAAATCATTTATGGTCTGCAACTTGCATTAAAATAACCAAGGAGTCAGAGAGTGGATGTAAATAGAGATGACAAGTCTGGCCATAAGTTGATAATCATTGAAACTGTGTGGCAAGTAAACGGGCGTTCAGTATACTATTCTGGGCCAGGCATGGTAGCTCATGCCAGTCATCCTAGCACTTTGGTAGGCCCAGGCAGGCAGATCGCTTGAGCTCAAGACCAGCTTGGGCAACATGGTGAAACCCTGTCCCCACAAAAAAATACAAAAACTAGCTGGGTGTGGTGGCACAAGCCTATAGTACCAACTACTTGCGAGGTTGAGGTGGAAGAAATCACCTGAGCCCAGGAAGGTGAGGCTGCAGTGAGCTAAGATGATGCCACTGCACTCTGGCCTGGCTGACAGAGCAGGATCTCATCTCTAATCAAAAAAGAAAGGGGGCCAGACGCGGTGGCTCACGCCTGCAATCCCAGCATTCTGGGAGGCCCAGAGGGGCGGATCACCTGAGATCAGGAATTCGCAACCAGCCTGGCCAATATGGTGAAACCCCATCTCTCCTAAAAATACAAAAATTAGCGAGGCATGGTGGCGCGTGCCTGTAATCCCAGCTACTTGGGAGGCTGAAGAAGGAGAATTGCTTAAGCCCAAGAGGCAGAGGTTGCAGTGAGCTGAGATTGTGTCATTGCACTCCAGCCTGGGTGACATTCTCCATAAAAAATTCAAAATAGACGTGATAAGAAAACGCATCAGGCCGGGTGCGGTGGCCCACGCCTGTAATCTCAGCACTTTGGGAGGCTAAGGCGGGTAGATCGTTTGAGGTCAAGAATTCGAGACTAGCCTGGCCAACATGGTGAAACTCCATCTTTACTAAAATACAAAAATTAGCTAGGCGTGATGGTATGCGCCTGTAGTCCCAGCTACTTGGGAGGCTGAAGCAGAAGAATCGCTTGAACCTGGAAGGAGGAGGTTGCAGTGAGATCTCACTGCACTCCAGCCTGGCTCATGGAGTGAGACTCCATCTAAAAAAAAAATAGTAGGAAGAAAACAATTTTAATACAGAATTTGGCCCTGGGCACGGTGGCTCACGCCTGTAATCCCAGCACTTTGGGATGCAGAGGCGGGTGGATCACCTGAGGTCAGGATTTTGAGACCAGTCTGACCAACAGGAGAAACCGCATCTCTACTGAAAATACAAAATTAGCCAGGCGTGGTGGCGCATGCCAGTAATCCTAGCTACTTGGGAGGCTGAGGCGGGAGAATCACTTAAACCCGGGAGGCAGAGGTTGTGGTAAGCCAAGGCTGCGCTATTGCACTCCAGCCTGGGCAACAAGAGTGAAATTTCGTCTCTCAAAAGAAAAAAAACAAAAAACCAGAATCTATTTTTTAAACTACACTCCTCTCTACCTTGGAAACTCTGAGATGCAACAATCCCTGCCTGCTTGCCCCATCCAAGCCTCTGGGAAATGTGGAAGAAGCAGTGCTGGCGAGGTGAGGTGGAGACGGAAGTCAGGGAGATGGGTGAAGACAGCAGGCCTCCTGGATCAGCCTCAACCCAGGGACATCCTTGACCCACTCGCTTCCCAGGACAGACACTTGATGACATTGGATCCAAGGAAGCAGCTGGTGGTGTAGCCCACATGAAGAAGCTAGAATCCTGGGTCTGGGCCTCAGCTCTATCTGTGGGCTTTCATCTCCCCACTAGTAAGTACCACGGATGCATGGAAGTGGATTATCTTTGGGGCCCCACCAGTTAGTTCTGCCTTTCAGGCCCCATGCAGACTTCCAGACCCAGCCTTACCCGGAAGGAGCCCCAGAGGAAGACACGGCCATCCTCGGTGAGGGCTGCTGTGTGACTGTCTCCTGCTGACACCTGTACCACCTTCTCTTGCAGCTCCACTTTCCCAGGGATCATCTCCGAGCCCTCCACTGATGTGTCCCTTCCCAGGGCACCCTCATCATTGCAGCCGAAGGAATAGACCTGTGCCCAGGATGCCCTCATTAATGCAAAGTCTGGCCTCGCAGTCCATTCTCATGTAGGCCACTCCCCACTGGACTAGCCAGCTCCATTTCCACAGTGAACATGTGTGGTTCAAAAGCCCTGCCCCAAGCCACCCAATCCCAGGCCTTGTCCAACCCTATGCCAGCCCCCAACACTTACCTGGCCACTTTTGCTTAGACACACGGTGTGCATGCCCCCAGCCTCAGCCTGCACAACATCCTCTGGAATGGATACCAGGGCCGGCTTCTTCCTCTCCATCACATTCTCACCCAGCCCCAGCTGGCCCACATCGCCCTGGCCTAGTGTCAGCACCAAGCCGGGTTCTGTGCTGTGGGACCTGTGTGAGACTGAAGGGTGAAGAAGATAGACCCTGAGTGTAGAGGATGACTACAGCGAGGAGAGGTCACAGGCTCTGCGATCAGACAAACCTGGGCGGAAGCCCTTGCTCTGCCACAGACCGTTAGTATGAACTTTCTAAGTTTTGTCATCTGTGAAATGGGGACAACAAAATACCTCTCTCACAGGATTTTTGTGGAGATTAAGAACTGAGCACATTATTCACGTGAAAGGGGAGAAAGGCAAACAAGGAGACACTGGATACTGTGAAATGAATCTTGGTGGAGTGGGCAAGAGGGGCTGGGTACGGTGGCTCACACCTGTAATCCTAGCACTTTGGGAGGCCAAGACGGGCGGATCACTTGAGGACAGGAGTTCGAGACCAGCCTGGCCAACAGTAGCCTGTAATCCCAGCTACTCGGGGGGGCTGAGGCAGGAGAATCACTTGAACCTGGGAGGCGGAGGTGGCAGAGCCGAGATCGCGCCATTGCCCTCTCTAGTCTAGGCGACAGAGTGAGACTCGATCTCAAAAAAAAAAAAAAAGAAAAAGAAAAGAAAAGAAAGCTAATTATTATTACTATTAGTTTGAGACGGAGTCTCCCTCTGTTGCCAGGCTGGAGTGCAGTGGCGGATCTCGGCTAACTGCAACCTCTGCCTCCTGGGTTCAAGTGATTCCTCTGCCTCAGCCTCCTGTGTAGCTGGGATTACAGGTGCCCGCCACCATGCATGGCTAATTTTTTGTATTTTAGTAGAGACGGGGTTTCACCATGTTAGCCAGGATGGTCTGGATCTTCTGACCTCGTGATCCGCCCGCCTCAGCCTCCCAAAGTGTTGCGATTACAGGCATGAGACACCGTGCCCGGCCGAAAGCTAATTATAATAGAATCTGCACCAAAAGCAAGGGAGACTACGTGGGTCAGAGCACAGTGCCCAATCTCCATCCTAGCCCTCCTCCATGCCCAGGCCGTCCGCCAGTGAGTAAGTTCAGCTCCCGGGCAAATCCACTGCAGAAACGGACTCCTCCCTCCGCCATCCAGTGGAAAGGCAAGAGGGGCAGGAGGAAGAGCGGCCAGCGGCATTTGCAGGAGGTGCGCACCAACCAGTGGGCGGCCCGGGGCCCTCTGTGGGCCAAAGGCAGCCCCCCAACCCGCAGTCCCGGGCAGCCAATGGCGCCCAGCCCCTCCCCCGAGGCTGTGGCACCGCTGAGGAGCCCGCGCTGGCAGCACAGAGGGCGCGCCGGGCGCGGAGCCACCTGGTCGGGTTTTCTGGTCAGGAGGGCTCGGCCCGCAGGCACCTTGGCAGGAGCGGGCGCCAGGAATGCGGCGGGAGGCAGCGGCCCTCGCGTCTGCAAAAGACAGACACTGTCTGAGCGTGGGTCCACACTTCCCCTCCCAGTTTAGTGCTGGCTTTTCTTTCCTCCCTGTGCCCCTCCAGTGTCCCAGGAGAGAGGAAACCACAGTCACCTCCCTCAAATTCTGCCAGGCCATTATCTCATCTTATCCTCACACAGCCCAGAGCGCGTGGTGCTGCTCTGGCTGCCTCCATTTTATGAAGTTGATAATCCAAACTGCGGGATTAAGTGACTTGCCCATCAGCTAGAAAGTGGCAGAGCAAGGACTTGAACCCATGTCGTAAAGTCAGTGGTCCTAACCACAATGCATCACTGGCTGGGGTGAAGCCCTAGGGTCTAGTTTTTTTGCCAGTACTGCCTAAGTGCCTTGGGAGGAGTTTCTGCCTACTTTGTGATTCCCAAAGAGTGGGATTCAACGAGCTATGGGAAACATTCCAGCTGGGTGGGGTTTCTGCTCATCCACACCCTTCAGTTTCAAGTGTCAGGAAGGAAGGAGCCCAGTCCCGGGTTCTCAGGGTTTCGAGGGGCCACCTGTACCCACAAAGAGGCCAAGGCCAACTTACCCTTCACCTTCTTGCTTTTGGGGATGGCATCTGCTGGGGGGGACCTTCTTTTAGCTATGCGCTTGGGTGACATCTTCCTGTCCTGAAAAAGTCAGTCAAATACTACATATCAGAAATGGCAAACATTTTCCTGGGCCAATTAGACAATATTTATCAAAAACCCTAGAAATAGGTTAAGAGGAATTGCCCAACAATTCCACTTCTCAAAATGTATCCCAAGAACAGAATAATGGATGCACCCAAAGATTAATTACACAAATATTCTCTACTGTATTCTTCATAACATTGTAAAAACAACAAAAACAGAACCACCCAGGGGTTCAGTAGTAGTGAACTAGTTAAATATGTGGTATATTCATGATAGAACAGTAGGAAGTCATCAAAAGTGATGTTTTCAGAGATCAATCTATTCAATAGAAAGATGTAGGCCGGGCGCGGTGGCTCAAGCCTGTAATCCCAGCACTTTGGGAGGCCGAGACAGGCGGATCACGAGGTCAGGAGATCGAAACCATCCTGGCTAATACGGTGAAACCCCGTCTCTACTAAAAAATACAAAAAACTAGCCGGGCGAGGTGGCGGGCGCCTGTAGTCCCAGCTACTCGGGAGGCTGAGGCAGGAGAATGGCGTAAACCCGGGAGGCGGAGCTTGCAGTGAGCCGAGATCGCGCCACTGCACTCCAGCCTGGGTGACAGAGCCAGACTCCATCTCAAAAAAAAAAAAAAAAAAAAGAAAGATGTTCCCCATTGCCAAGTAAAGCAGAATGAAAAACAGATGGCCAGGTGCGGTGGCTCACATCTGTAATCCCAACACTGGGAGGCCGGAGCGGGCGGATTACCTGAGATCAGGAGTTCGAAACCAGCCTGGCCAACATGGCAAAACCCCATCTCTACTAAAAATACAAAAATTAGCCAGGCGCAGTGATGGGCGCCTGTAATCCCAGCTACTCAGGAGGCTGAGGCAGGAGAATTGCTTGAACCTGGGACGTGGAGGTTGCAGTGAGCCAAGATGGAGTCACTGCACTCCAGCCTGGGCAACAGAGCCAGACTCTGTTTCAAAAAAAGAAAAAAAAAGGCTAGGCGCAGTGGCTCATGCCTGTAATCCCAGCACTTTGGGAGGCCAAGCTGGGTGGATCACTTGAGGTCAGGAGTCCGAGACCAGCCTGGCCAACATGGTAAAACCCCAGCGCCACTAAAAAAATATATATATACAAAAATCAGCCAGGCATGGTAGTGCGTGACTGTAATCCTAGCTACTCGGGAGGCTGAGGCAGGAGAACTGCTTGAATCCAGGAGGTGGAGGTTGCAGTGAGCCAAGATCACAACATTGCACTCAGTACTCCAGCCTGGGTGACAGAGTGAAACTCCATCCCCCAACCAAAAAAAAAAAAAAAGAAAAGAAAAACAGCCTATCATCCTTTTTTTTTTGGAAAAAAAATGCATACACATAAAAAATATGAGAAAAATCTGGGGAAGAAAATATATCCCATATTAACAATGGTAACCTCTGGAAAATGGTATTATAGATAATAATTACTTGTTTCATTGTAACTTCCTATATTATCTAAGATGTTTAACAAGGAGCACTATATGTATTTTTCTTTTTTTTTGAGACGGAGTCTCACTCCCTCGCCAGGCTGGAGTGCACAGGCATCTCAGCTCACTGCAACTTCTGCCTCCCAGGTTGAAGCGATTCTTGTGCCTCAGCCTTCTGAGTAGCTGAGATTACAGGCGTGCATCACCATGCCCTGCTTTGTTTTTTGTTTTTTGAGACGGAGTCTCGTTCTGTCACCCAGGCTAGAGTGCAATGGTGCAATCTCGGCTCACTGCAACCTCTGCCTCTTGGGTTCAAGTGATTCTCCTGCCACAGCCTCTCGAGTAGCTGGGATTACAGGTGCCCACCACCACACCCAGCTAATTGTTGTATTTTTAGTAGAGACAAGGTTTCACCAGTTTGGCCAGGCTGGTCTCGAACTCCTGACCTCAGGTGATCCACCCCCTCCAACCCCCGGCCTCCCGAAGTGCTGGGACTATAGGCGTGAGCCACTGCACCTGGCCCAAATTTTGTATTTTTAGTAGAGACAGGGTTTCACCATGTTGGCCAGGCTGATCTCAAACTCCTAATCTCAAGTGATCCACCTGCCTCAGCCTCCTGAAGTGCTGGGATTACAGGCGTGAGCCACTGCGTCCGACCAATTACATGTTTTTTGTTTTGTTTTGTTTTGTTTTTTGAAGCAGAGTTTTGTTCTTGTTGCCTATGCTGGAGTGCCATGGCACAATCTCGGCTCACCACAACCTCTACCTTCCAAGTTCAAGTGATTTTCCTGAATTTTGTATTTTTAGTAGAGATGGGGTTT